AGTTTTAAAACATTTTTTTAAAAATATTTCTAATGGTGATTGAACCATGAAACTTTTTATGTAGCGCAATTATAACCTAAATTAGCTGAAAATAACCCTAGAACCTAGAGGCTACTGTTCCTTTAATAATTTAGCACAGCTGTAATTATATCCACATTAGAGTAACAACTATTTGACAATTCCGGTAGCTAGCTTACGTAATTTATAAGTATATTCTCTTCCTTTCGCCTTTTACGATGTTGAAATCACCTAAGCATTTTCATGTCCACTGATGAAGTGTTTCACGCGAGACATCATGAGTGGGATAGGTTAACAAGAAATCTACTGCGGTACGTTAATCTTCACACACCAATCCACTGGATGGCCACCTTTATTAAGTCCATACCAGGAATATGACTTAGTTTTCATGTAGCGGAGCAGGACCCATGATTAAACGCTCGAACTTTGTCAGTGTGCATTATCGTAGCTAGGTATTACGTGACTGTCAGCGATCAAGCAGCATACAGACAGGCAGGCTACAGGATGGGTATGTAGGAATCGATCTTGGCCCGATGCCGCTGGGCCACGCACTCCGCAATCCACACGATGTTACGCACCTGCAATTACAGCAATGAAATGTACAAACATATTCGCTACACTTTGGTAGAACTAAACCATACGACTAAGCTATACTACTACTACTACTACTACTACCTACTAACTACTTTACTAAACCATGTCCATCGAGTCTCTTACCAACTTCACACGGATAGTGTTTTAGCTACTTCTGGTAAGCTTAATTATTACTACATGTAGATTTGAATCAAACCCTAATGAAGATTTCTCAGCAGAAATCAACAATGTTTAACATATAAATTGTTAGCATCAGAACGTATTAACGACTTTAGCATTCATGATTAAATTAACAAGGCTGTATCAGAACCCTAACCTACCTCTTGTTCTTTCAGTTTAACGTAGGCATAGAACACTCCAAACTGGAACTGCTGCATAAAGGCGTTCACGTTCAGTTTAACCTGCAATAGACATAATGTGTGAGCGCCATCTATTGGAGCCTTTGCTCATAAACTTAATAACTCTTCCATTTACTTATTTACGTACTCTTACTTACTCTTAACATTATGAAATTCTTTTAATCGAAAGCCATAAAGACGAAACGAAGTGGATGAGAGCAAGAATGCTGATGGCAGGTGCCGTACAACATGTTACGATTGCAGCTGAGTGGAGTAGGCGACACACACACACCTCGTGCTCAAAGAACCTGTCCTCTAGGGTTTTGTCTCCTGGGTTGTTTCCCGCGCCTTCAAATAGCTTCTTGTACTCCTGTAACAAGCGAACAGCACCGTCAGTGGTCATCCATCCTATATCTCATTGCACAATCACAGCACATACTGCTTCCGCAATTCTAACTGGGCCTAAAAAAATCTAAGCCAGAATTGTTGTTAAGGGACAACTAACAGGGAATAAACTCACTGTATTCACAGACTGTATTCAGTCGCGAGAGTAAATTCACTGTGCAGTATTCGATCACAGGGGTAAGCTCATTGCGTGGGGGGGGGGAATAAACTCATCACAGGGGGGAGTAAACTCACTGCGCGTAGAGGAGTAAACTCATCACAAGGGGGAGCAAACTCACTGCGTGTAGGGGGGTACATTCATCACAGGGGGGCGTAAACTCACCGCGCGTAGGGGGGTACATTCATCACAGGAGGGAGCAAACTCACTGCGCGTAGGGGGGTACATTCATCACAGGGGGGGCGTAAACTCACCGCGCGTAGGGGGGTACATTCATCACAGGGGGGGCGTAAACTCACTGCGCGTAGGGGGGTACATTCATCACAGGGGGGAGTAAACTCACTGCGCGTAGGGGGGTACATTCATCACAGGGGAGGCGTAAACTCACTGCGCGTAGGGGGGTACATTAATCATAGGGGGGCGTAAACTCACAGCGTAGTATTCGGCGACAGCGCGCACTTGTTCGTACTCGTCCGCGCGCGCGAGCGCCGCGTGTCCGTCCGGGTACAGCTTGCCGCAGCGCGGGTACAGCTTCGCGCGGTCGTCCCGCGTCAACTCCGTGCCGAACGAGTTGATCGTGATGATGAACGAACGTCTGTCCGCCTCAAACTGCGATGAGATAAACAGCGGTCCTGAGTCTCATACGCGCACTTCTACCCCTAGTTACTAGTCGGTGGGGTCGTGCAGTGATAGGTTTGCAGGTAGTTTAAGAAAAATGTTTATAGTATATAATAACAGTAAGTGTATAAATATTAGTATTAGACAAGAAAAAAACAGTTGTGTTGCCTATGTGCACTCTACCCTTAGAACTTAGTCGGCTGGAGTCGTATGGTGATAAGTTAATACCGGCAGCATAAAAAGGTACTATAACCTAGTTTACAGTATATTATGATAGTAATTTAAACCTAGGGTCACATGCTCCTTTAATTAGGCCAATTAGCTAACCATCGCTGTCAGATCAGAAGACTGGTGAAATGGTCATTCCTGGGCCAAGGGGAGATAGGAATTGATTAAAGGATTCATACGGCAACATATGCTTGACTTTATTCTTGTTGCATTAAATATCTAGTATATATAGATAAACATCTAGTACATACGTTCTTGATAAAGGTAGTTGGTAGCTAATGTTTAGACAAGCAGATAATAACCATCATGGTCTTTGCAGAATAACTTTGTGTTTGATTTATCTGACATTATCATACATTGTAACAAATCTCAGCGCAGACGAACATACTCTTCTAGGATAAATACTTACGGACAGTATTTCACACATAACTTCAGCAGTGGCACCCCCCAGCTCACTACAGTATTCATAGAAATCTTCTAGATATGCCTGCAATAGAGATAGGAAGATAAATAATATCTCATATATGTCTGTATAGCTTCTATTAGCATGACCACACTTAATTGAGAACAGATAAACAAATCATAAATATCAAATATAAACATCAGCTACGTTTCCAACATTCACGGTCGAGTAAAAATTAACCTTGTTACATAAATAATAAATAATTAACACATAACAGAATGCTGGTTATTAGTAATGTGACCCAACATTTCAGGAGTTGCTTGCTTATGGCAACTTACAGACTAACAAAAACCTTATAACAGCGGTAACCTGACCCCATCTTGTTTAGACCATCAACGCAAGTTACACTACAGACACTACCAAGTAGAGTTTTAATCACCAGGGGCCCGTTGTCAGAAACAAAATTAATCTTAACATTAGTCTTAAAGCGATCATTGCGAGTTGTTTTCAGCGTTTTTTAGTGTTTATTCTCACTCTCATGATGCCTACCGTTGTTGTTTGAGTAACAGTAATTGTTTGAAATAACAATAAAATGTCTTAGAACCGCATGCAAAGACAAAATCATGCACGATTACAATTTTGCGTTCTCTTGTTGATTTTCGCTGTCATGTCTCGCACTTTCTCGCGGTACCGCGAGACGTCAACAAGGGTACAGTAATGCAAAAATCGCACCGGAGATGTTTTTGGTCAGATGTAAACACAGAGGTGCATAGCAGCGTAACACAAACAAGAGTGTAAGTTGTAACCTCAAAAATATTAGTCTTCAAAAGTCCTAGGGACTATAACGAAGACGGAGAGAGAAATGGATCAAATCCTCGTTGCGTACCGCCAGCGAGAATACTTATCACACACAAATAGATGCCCCTTTGTTTTAATTATGTTCGCTTGTTTGAGACGCCATTTGTGATTTCTGAAAGTAGTGACTCGAAAAAATGTATTGCTTGTATGATGTGGTCAAATCAATTTTTCTATGCTATAACTGCATAAAATATTGGTGTTTTGAATGTTGGTGTAATCAGTGATATTTTCTCTGTCAGGTGAGACTATATTCAAGCTATATTTAGATTTTTCTGAGCAAAATTCTCGCAATGGACGTTTTAACATTTAATCTTTTTCTCTCTAGACGTCGACAGAAATCGTCCTGCGTAAGTGCCACTGAGATGGAATAAATTGCGTTATGCAGATTTCTCATAACACAATTAGGAAATCAAAGTGGCTGGTCGACATTCGGTTACTGAGAAAATGCTATAGTGGGTTAGGATAATGCTAAGACCTAATTTTGTTTCCATGACAACGGGTCCCCGCGTCATATAAATCAGGGTGAGCAGCAATTAAGACGCAGCGTGACATATTCGCACCTTGTACAGCGTGTTTTTGATGATCTCATATTGTTCTCTCATCCCAGGTCTTGCTCGGAGATGCAGTCGACCGAAGAAACGGCGAGCTGGAACCATGCAAACACGCTGCGAATGTATTAGAGTGATTACGTCACGGGAAATTTCTAGCCACCATCAAGTAGTCATATTGTTGGGTCTATTTGTACATTATTAAAATGTTATAAAGAACAATTAGTGTTTCTGCTATGTACTTTGTCCATGTTATTATACCTTCATTTATATGCCTCTAATTGTGCCGTGTGAAATAAGAGACGCCAGTCATCCTGTAACGAATACTGGGGGAATAGTGCTTATACAACGAAATACAAATCGTCTAGATTTTTGCTATTAACCACTTACTAACGAACATTTTTATCAGCTGTGAGCGGAGTTTAGAGATTATTTCAGTAACGTTAGTTCTTACTCTTTAAAGTTAAAAAAACTGTCAAATTTTTTTTTACAATGTTTACAATGGAAAATTCGTGACGTAGTCAATTTAACGAGGCCGAGCCAGTCACCGAGTGACAACCTCAATATCCGTGAAGCCATATTAAAATACGCAGTGCTTGTAAAAAAGACAATATTCCGGATGAAGCCATATTAAATTACGCGAGTGCTTGTAATAAAGACACCAATATCCGGGGGTTGAAGCATGGATCTAAAAATACGCAGTGCTTGTAAAAAAAAGACGAATAGTCCGGTTGAAGCCCATATTAAAATACGCAGTGCTTGTAAAAAAGACCAATATCCGTGAAGCCATATTAAAATACGCAGTGCTTGTAAAAAAGACCAATATCCGTGAAGCCATATTAAAATACGCAGTGCTTGTAAAAAAGACCCCGGAATCTATGTTGGCGTGACAATTGTGTCGCCGTTTTTACACCCTTGTGCATTTAGATCAGCGGTTCTCAACTTTTTTGAAACATGGACCCCTTTGAGAATCTGCTGATAGCTACGGACCCCTCCCCGGAAAAATGCACATAAGCACATAAACACAAACTTTTGCATGCGCCTGGTTCACGGACCCCCTGAAACCCATCCACGGATCGCAAAGCGGTCCATGGACCACAGGTTCAGAACCCCTGAATTAGATTGTGTAATTAAGCGATTAGACTCGTCAGAAACACGCACAGACAGTGCTTCAATTTACGATCACCCTCTCAGAATTCTTTCTGCACTTATTTTTGATTAACATTCAAAGATGATGTTGGAAATTGGTTAAATTCAAGTTCGATAAATTATTGCAAAAAGCTGATCGACGAGTCATGAATTAACGTCGTAAAAACACAATTTACAATGTCTTCAGTGAAACAAAATAATTAAAATGACTCACACACTAAGTTTTTTACAATAACCAAAACAAAGCTACCCCTTAACAACCGTTTACCATTGATGCACGTGCCACTGCACTAAACAGCACAACAACTAAGCAAAACTCGATTGTAAAATTTCCAACTCTATTAATCGACGCAGACGGCTAAACAAGCAACGCTCAATTAGACGAACTCAGTTATTCTGAACTGACGATCACCAGGTGGCGCTACCTAGCGGGGTGTCGACCAGCACGGCGTTGTACAGCTCTGCCGGGGTCGAGGCGATATGAATGGCTTCCATTTCCTCGAAGCTTCCGAGCGGGTGACATTTGGGAATGAGCTCGGTGATCGGTCGCTGATGCAGCGTTCCCGTGATCAACAGGATGATGTTGTCGATCATGTAGCTGTAACTGAAGACCGATCGAGCGTTAGTTTCGCGGGCCGCTCATTTGCATACATGAGTGGCATTACATACATTACGTAATTATGTGAGTGCTACGTGAAAACACTGGCTCGTCAGTGAGGAGGAAATTTTGCGAACCGTACAAAAACATTTTTATTTGTTCAATTAGACACTTGCATTGATGACTGAATACCACAATTTCAGATAGATAATACATCACGTTCCTAAAATATGTAGTTTATCTGAGACATTCTAATGACACTCATGTTGAAGTGTAGTACGTGTATATTATAATATTACTTGTAAACAGGAAGTATTATCTAAAGTTAGTGATAATTTTCATCTACGTCACACCGATATAATCAGCACTAAAGCCAATAATCAAACAACTTCCTTCCATGTACTGTTTGTAATCTGGTTCCAGTTTAGCCAGGTCTCAACTTATTGGATATTATGCAATAGCAACAAGAAATGGCCAGATATTACACGACTACCAAGCTGTCTACATAAATATTCAGTTGCACGGCAAAATCCGGCGTAAACTAATATACATCATCGGTGCATATGCTCGCAAATTCCGACGAAACGCGCGATGCACTCACGTGATGTAATCGAGGAACGTGGACAGTGGCTCCACCGCGTGGTTGCGAATGTGTTGAAACTCGACGACGAGCTTCTCCTTCAGCTTGTCGTCAATGACGGACACCGTCAGCGGGCTCGGCTCGTTAGCGAGGAAATTGCCATAGTCGGTGCTCTGCAGGTGCAGCTTCAAGTCTGTAACACGTAGCGCATGCAGCGATTACACAGAAGAACAAACGCTAACAGAACAAGCGCTAACAGGTAGAAGTTGTCATAGTCGGTGCTCTGCAGGTGCAGCTTCAAGTCTGTAACACGTAGCGGATGCAGCGATTACACAGAAGAACAAACGCTAACAGAACAAGCGCTAACAGGTAGAAGTTGTCATAGTCGGTGCTCCGCAGGTGCAGTTACAAGTCTGTAACACGTAGCGGATGCAGCGATTACACAGAAGAACAAACGCTAACAGAACAAGCGCTAACAGAACAAACGCTAACAGAACAAGCGCTAACAGGTAGAAGTTGTCATAGTCGGTGCTCCACAGGTGCAGTTACAAGTCTGTAACATGTAGCGGGTGCAGATTACACAGAAGAACAAACGCTAACAGAATAAGCGCTAACAGGTAGAAGTTGTCATAGTCGGTGCTCCGCAGGTGCAGTTACAAGTCTGTAACATGTAGCGGGTGCAGCGATTACACAGAAGCACAAACGCTAACAGAACAAGCGCTAACAGGTAGAAGTTGTCATAGTCGGTGCTCCACAGGTGCAGTTACAAGTCTGTAACATGTAGCGG